TGTGTTATGCCATACTAATATTTCTTTTTAATTGTGAAGTAGATATATAAGTTGACTTGGGAATTAAAATTGACTTGAAAGAAAGGAAAAATGTTACATAGCATACACACAAAGGCATATATAACTTACTTCTGGAAGAGTTGGGGAATGTTTCACCTCAAATGCTTGTCATTTGGAAAACCATCACTTTTTAGGAAATTAAAGTAGAAAATCATAGCTTGGGCATGGGAATTGTTTTTTCCTTAAACAAGTGGGCTATCACATTAGACATTATTGCCTAGCAGTGGTTGAAATAAACCCCGAGGAATCTTTATCTCATGTATAGGATGCAATAAATGAATGTGTATTCCCACGAGACAGGTCCTCTTGGGCAGCGCTTCAGCAGTAAAAAGGAATATAAATGTAATGATTTTATTATTCTGTTAATAAGCATCTTCAATCTGAAGCATAGGATGAGGAAGCTGCAAGTCAAGAAATTGCTACAGTGCCAGAAATGTAGAAACTGGCTCCTGCTAAGTCTTGCTCAGATCCACAATAGGTATTGATTAGGAACAAAACATAACCACTTCTTGCAGAAGCTGTGGAGAGGCCATGTGAACCACACAAACCACAATGCTTAGAGTTAGCATTCCATACAGAAGCAGTGCCAAACTGCACCTGAAAACAGCAGGGCTAATAAGGATGTACTGTACCACTCCCAATTACAAATATTCAGCTGAAAGACTGCTAATTGCAATAAGCAAATTCACACAGGAGAAAATGGTTTGCTGCCCTCTCTCTCTCTCTCTCCCTCTCTCAGGTTTACTTCCAGTATTAAAAATAACCTGTTGATGCTGCTTTTGGGAAGATAGGATTGGAAATGATCCCCCTCTCCAACCACACAATGGTCATTTTGTTTAGAAGGCCTCAGAGCAATAACTTCTCTGGAGCCCCCACTGACCCAGGGTCACCAAACACTTTTTGGTATCAGGTAATAAACTTAAGGGCTGCAGTAAAAGGCCAAACCTCTCAAGCACAGTATCAGAGAAGACTATAACCAGTACCTATGCAACAAGATATTTACAAAATAAATCTCCCAGAAGATTCCGAGAAGGTGGCAGAGGGAATGCAAAACAGTGCTTTGCCAGGTGCACCTGAGGGAAAAGGTTCTGTGGTGACACAAATCTGACAATCAATTCAACTGTATGCCTGTGAGCAAGATGTACCACAAACCACCTGATGATTTAATGTCACCAGCCCTTTCTACATCCTGTCTCTGACTAATTTCCAGTGCCTCAGAGGCAGTTGACAAAAACCTCATCAGCCAAATGTAGATGGGGCAGGGGACCAGAAGCAGGCCTGGAGCTCAGGAATGATTAAAACCAATGTCAAAGCTCAGCAGCTCAATGTCCTTTAAATTCCCTTTGGACACACCAGAGTATCATACCCCAATTTAAAATCATACAGGTGCTTGTGCCTGGAGTACTGTTTGTTTGCTCCTGGAATAGTTAGAAAGCTTTTCAATCTAAGTATACTCATGACAAATTTGTGCCCATACATCCCTGTGCTAGCATAATTCTTTAACTTAAATAGTACTTCTTCCTTGATATTTACTGTTTGAATGTATTTATGGTGAATCACATTGTTTTGGCTTCATTTGGCTAGTGAAGGAAGCCAAGCTTGCTTACTTGCAGCTCCCGTTCAAGAATACGGATACTCTGCTCCCTCACCACCCCAGTGTTCCTCTTCTGCACCTGTGGCAACCTGAGTCAATCTTTTCTGACTGTAAGTCACCAGAACTGGACACAATTTCCCAAACAAGGGTCCTTAGCTATACTGTGTAAAGTCACATTAATACTTCCCTCTGTCTACTAAAAATACCCTGCTTTGTGCATCACGGACTCACGTAAGCCTTTTCCATAGCTATTCCACTGGCAGCTCACAGTCATTTTCTCATGGAGGAATGCACCCACATAGTAAGGTCAGAGCACTAGGCCCAAGGCTACCAACATCACCACCTTCCTCCTTTCACTACAGAGTGGTTTGGGTGCAGGGTACTGCTTCTAACCTTGAACAAATCCTTTCTTTGGCAATTGTTATCTGCTGTTTCTTCCAATATCTCTGAGTGAAAAACATTTTGATTCATCCGTCATGTCACTTTCTCCATTTCTCGAGGTTTGCTGTTCTGCAATCCCAAATCTTAGACAAATATCTGCATTTGTCCCTCTTGCAGTTTAACTTAAGCTGGATTAGTTCGCGATCACTCAGTTCAAGATTAGTTTCAACACTATGGCCTTCTACAAGGTCCTTGCTGCTTATTAATACCAGGCCTAAAATAGCATTCTCTCTCACGGACTGTTTGCTTGAGAAATCGAGTTTCTACGACACTCGAGAACATTTAAGCCCTACCATTTCCCAGTGGTACCTTCCAGTCTGTAGCTGAGAAATTAGTTTCCCATAATCACATGCTCTTCTGTATTTTCCCCATAGTTTTTGGAGATAACTATCCCTGTCCAAGCTTGCAAGGGATTACTACCCTTCTCTCAGGAGACCTTTTCTTTTTAAAAAAAAATTCGTTGCTCTCATGTGATTTTCCAATGTAATGCCCTATTATTTTACATTTTCAAACCATTTTACTAAAATATAGAGTTACTACATGGTCTTTACTATTATTTCTGTTCTTCTAAGGAGCAACGCCTCCAATGACTATATTCTAAACACTACTGCCAAGCAGAGGTGTGCGGCATGTCACAGCAGCCTTGAGGCACAGCATTGCTTATAACATGAAATTACAAACCAATTAAAAATGAAACACTGGTGACATATCTTGCTGTAATAATTGTATTAGAAATATTTAAAATTTTGCAGTCATGATATGGAAAAAGAAAAAAAAACAACAAAGCAATTGAAATGGTAGATATTTCATTAGATCCACACTTAATCCCTTTAGCTACAGACATTTTCTAATGTGGAAAGGCTTCTGACATCTTTAAATGGTATAAGAATTTGTTTTCTCTTTTTGGGGAAGACTGCATTATTATAGCTGCTGGAGCTACAGGCACTAGAATCCTACTATTTTTTTTTTTTTTTTTTTTTTAGTGCAAAACAAGAGGACACACATACAACAGCAAAAAGAGTGGCAAAGGAGGAAATTGCAGGTTTGTCTCTGATAGAAACTTATTTGCAGCCCTGCCGCTGGAGAAAACCAGGCTCGATGCACATTCCTTTCTGCTAGTCGAGAGCTAAGCAATCTTGAACAAGTGATGGGAACATTTAAAGGCATCTGTCTGAGATTGTCTTTCTGATCGCAGGTTCGTGGCATCGTTTCAAAAGCCGCAGTTGTCTTGACAGCTAAGCCAGCCTTTGACTGGGGACAGCAGCAAAGGCGGGAGAGAGGGGGGAAGAGAGAAAGCAGAGAAGTGGGATGAAGAGAAAAACAGCATACAGGAGGGAATTAGCAGTGCGGCCGAGCTTCGTGATTAAGGGGCTGGTGAGGACATAGCCGAGCTAGAGATGTTTGGGTTTGCAGGGCAGGTTGGCGTGGGCGTTACAGAAAGCCGGGGGATGAAGATCGAGGAGGGTCAGGATGGATTTCGGCACGCGTGGAGATGCTGTAAGCGGCAACTATGACGCAAAGCTTGTTCGTTCAGGATCACGCATCCAACTGTTCCTCCCTAGTGATCCCTCGATAAACAACGTCCAAAAAGGACGGTGACCTCATCCCACTGAAATTAGCCAAACACCACACATTTCTCCGTGTTCAGCTCCGCACATTCCTTACAGCTCCGGCTCTCCCGGCTGCCAACCACATCGCTGCACCCGGGGCTCCGAGGGCCCCTGTGCGGCAATTCCTCCAGTCCACCCCGGACCTCGGCTCCGGCTGAGCTCCCCACCCGCCTCGGCTCCGGCTGAGCCCCCATCCCCGACTCCGGCTGGGCATCTCCGGCTCCGGCTGAGCCCTCATCCCCGCCTCCGGCTGGGCACCCCCGGCTTCAGCTGAGCCCCCATCCCCGGCTCCGGCTGGGCACCTCCGGCTCCGACTGAACCCCCGCGCCGCTTCTGCGCCAGAGCCGGCTCTACCCCTCCCTCCTTCCCTCCCCGCATCCCGGTGAGGCGGCGGGGACATGACAAGCCACCCAGAGATGCCCCCGTGTCAATGCGGGACCGCCAGTACCGGCCGGGCATCTCCCCGTGTCCCCGGTCGGGACACGCCGCGATATGAGCGGAGCCCGACACGGGCGTTTATTTCACCTGCCCGCCCGGAGCCACACGTTCCTTTTGGCCGCCGGGGGGGACTCCTGCGGAGGGGTCGCGGGTGCTCTAGCACCTCCGGGGCGCCGGGCAGGGCACACAACCTCCGCTCGCCCGCCCGCCGGGACTCGGGGTTGGCACCTACGGCCGGCTGCTCCCAGGATCAGCCTCTCCGGCGGACAAGCAGCTCTGCCTCGCTGCTCTTTCCCGTTCTCTTCCAGACTCTTCTCCCCGCTCCCCACCGCTGTTTTCCCTCCCTCCCGTGTTTCCCAGTGGCACGTTCTTTGTTTAATGAAGGCTGTTGTGTTGGAAGCGCACCTTCGAGCGGGGGCTGCTGCACCTCCCCGGAGGCGAGCAGGGGCAGCGGGCGGCTCCGCGCCGCGCCGATCCCGCTCTCCCGGCTCCCCGCGTCCCGGCGCCATCCCCGGCGACCTTCCTTCCCCCAGTGCCCCAACACAGCGCCCGCCCTCCGGCCGAGCCCCCGCGGCTCCACCGGCACCTCCCCGCACCCGGGACGAGACGCTCTGTACCCCCCCCGCCCGCCCCGCTCCGCTCCGCTCCCCCTTCGTCGGGCGCGGCCGGCGGGGCCGCTTTCCCCGGGTCGTGCCCGCGGCGGGAGGGGGGGTGGTGAAAGGCATCAGGTGCAGCCGGGGCCAGCAGCCAGGGCAAGCCCGGCCCCCGGCTGCCGCCTGCGCGCTGAGCGGCTGTGCCGGGCCCGCCCCTCGGTGTGTGGGGAGGAGCCGGGAGAGCAGCGGGCTTTGCCGGGGATTTCCAGCCCGAGCGGGCGGGAGAGGAAGTGCGGGGCGGGGGGAGACGGCGTACAGCGGTCGGGACTTTCCGCTGGGCTGGCGGTCGCCTTCGCCCGGCTCCAGCTGCCGCCCGCCGCCCCGCTCCCCGCACACGCTCGCAGGTAGGGCGGCCGCGGGGCTCGGCTCGGCGGGGCTCGGCTCGGCTGTGTGGCGGAGGAGGGGAGGGCGGGAGCCGCTCTGCCGCCGTGGCGGCGGCTCCCGCGCGGGGCTCCGGCACCGGCCGCGCTCGCCTGCCCGCGCTCGGGCGCTGCGGGCAGGGGGACGGGGCCGGGCGGGCGGCGGGGGCCGGGGGCGCTCCGGCGGGGGCGCGGCGCTGACCGAGGCATCTGCTGCCAGGCAGGGGCCGAGCGCGCTGCACCCGCAGCCCGTGCCGGGACCTCGGCGGCGCCTGGTGCCCGGGGATAGATCAGATCAGCCTGCGGCGGGGCGGCGCGGACTCCTCTCCTGCCCGGACGCACTCGCACTCCAGGGCTGTTTGCAGGTGCCCCTTTTCACTTACTTATTCCTGCCTCCCCCTTTCCCTTCCCCGCGCCTCTCGCTGTTTGCCGCGCTCCCCGCGGTGCGTGTGCCTGAGCGGGGAGGGGAGGGCAGGGAGGCGAGGCCGGAGCGGGGAGCCGGGAGCCGCGGCGGCGCTTGCGGCGTTTGATGCGGCGTTTGATGTGTCGTTTGAATGCAGAAGGCTCGCTCGCTCCTGGCTCCCTCCATATGCAGTGCTGGGGGCGGGCCGACGGCCTTTAAAGGGGCACTGCCGGCAGCGCCGCGCCTGGCGCGGAGCGCGGTGCCGGCTGCGCCCCCCCGGCTGCCGCTGCGGCGGAGCCCCCGCCGCTGCCCGGCCATGGGGCCGCGCCCGCCCCGCCGCCGGAGCTGCCCCTCACCGCCGCGGGAGGAGTTGTGTTGTCACCGAGCCCGCCTGCCCGCACCGGCGCTGCGCTGTGCCCGCCCGCCTGCCTGCCTTGCCTGCCGTGAGCGGAAAGGGGAAAAAAAGTGTTTTGTTTTCACGCCATTCATTTCGTGCGCTGATTCGCGACGCCGCGTTTTAGCGCGTTGAATGAATCGCCGTGTTGTAGGTCAGGGAAAAATAACGAATGTTTAAAAGTTTATACTGAGTCATTCCTCTGCAGATGAACCTATGACTGACTCATAATCTGAGAACTGCAGTGGCTTGTAAAATAGGAAGGTAAGGCATTTACGTCTTGATTTATTTGTATCTTTGAGTGCCTGAGATCTGATTTGTCTGCAGAAAACAAGAGAAACTCTGTTAATATTAAGAGGCATAATCTCATGTTCTGCCGATCAGAGCTTGTGTGTGACGTGACAGACTGTATGTGCTCCTCTGCATGGATCTTTACCACTCATTAGGGCACCTTTCATCTCTTTCTGTTTCTATAGTAGTAAAATGTGGGAAGTTCCAATGATACAATTTGAAATATGCCATCTCCTTGGGTCCCAGAGTTGTCTGGCTTGTTGAGATCTAACCGAGCCTTGTATATTGTAATTTGTGCGATTTTTATTTCTTCAGTAGAACTGTGTGGTTTTCCTTTCAGGTTTGTCCCATAGGATGCATGTACCATCACTGAGCACTAATCTGAACTTGCACTCATAGACCAAAAAGGAGCTTATTGAACGATGTGAAGGTGTACTTCAGTGTTTAGCTTAGAGAAATGAAATAGTGTATTTTGAAATTGTAAAAATCTGTATTTGAAATAGCTGTTGACCTGCCTAGAAGCCTAGATTTAAAGGCTACATTGATGGTTGGTTAGAACTAAAGAATTTATAGCATGTACCACGTCTGGTCCTTTAAAATGAACCACTGGCTCATGCCATGTATGGATTAATGTAGATCTTAGTGTTATTTTTGGTGATTAGGGAGAGGGCTCTTAACATTTAAGATGAGAAACACTTGATCCTTTGGACAGAATCAGAATTTTTTATGTCTGAACTGGGAAACCCCTTGTAAAGCTTGATAACGGAAACACTGATGTATCATGAGCTTGGGCATTGCAAGCAGGCGGCACTACGAGGTTATAAAAGTTGTGTTGTTCCAACACGAGAATGGTAGGTGTTTTACTGAAGTATGACTTGATGAGAAGCTTCTAATAATAGCTGGACCTAGAAAATAGAATCGTAAAGTTCATTCAGTAGCAATGCAAATTAATTCTAATCAAAAGAGGGTGCTAAATGACTCAGTCTTTAGGCTTTCCTGAAGTCCTTCTGCGTTTTAAGTTTAATGATACCAATTTTGAAAAGCCATTCTTGTATGGATTCAGAGAATTTGATCATTGTGTAACCATATTTACTGTTGATACCTTGGAAAACTCTAACATGGCAATAGTTAGCATCAGTGACAAAAGATTCTTTAGGAAGTCTTACCAGTCCATGCTAATACGGTTTGTCTTTTAAATTATTTTAAGATCTTGTTGTGTTGTAGAACTTTACATTGCTCTTGTCCATAATGAAGACTTAGAAGATGGATGTGTTTTGGTTTTTTTTTTAGTACCAAAGTCCAACTGTTCTATTAATAGATATGGCATTGCTGAAAATACGAAAAGCCAAAAATCTTAATTTGTAACTTGTGTTGTTAAACAACAGATGATGTAGTAACTGGATTTCTTTAGGTTCTTTTATTGTAATAATGTTTCTTAGTTGAAGGTGCTGCATCTTATGATGTCTGAAGACTGCTCATTACACATTGGTTTCAGGTATCTGTTCACTTATGCACAGTTCCTTTAAAGAATTGCCAAGGCTTAAGTTTGGTTTGGTTTGGTTTTGTTTGTTTGTTGAGCTTTGGGCACTTTGAATGTGATGCTTGTATTTGAAACCTCGTGGCATTTTTGGTGTATGGCTCAGGAATATCAGAAGTGGTAGAAGAAATTGGAGATTTCAAGATGTGATATGGGGGAAAGAAGCCAAGGGAGGAAGAGTTGTGTGTTTTTGTGCAGCAGAATAAAGGTGTGATTGTAGCACAAGAGAGAGTGCTGCAGTTACACTAGGTTTTATCTTACACTTTTTAACCTATGGTGATGTAGAAACTTCAGTAGTGAGGGGCTAGCAGAGAGAATATAACTGGTCTCCCAGCTGTGCCTGCTGAAAGCTCATGCTCTCATAAACTGGTAGTTTAAAGTCAGTATATTTTGTTCTGACAAATCACAAACACTTCATTTTCTTCTATGCCTTTTTTCTTTCTATGGTAGAAAGAGAAAGGACTAGAGAATTGGGACGAAAAGGGAGTCAACTTGAATGAAAGATCTTTAGGTACCTGCAATGTAGGAAGAGGTGTTCTCTTGTAATGGGAAAGAAGAGAAAAGGAAATAAAGACAAAAAATCCATCAGGAAATCTGTAAGGAAAGTATACAGTGGAAACATCTTAGAACCTAGAGAGAAAATAAGGCAAGAGATTATTTGGTATTGAGAAGTGTGTGTGTGAGGGAGGGAGATTTATTTAGTCTTTGAGGGAGTGTTTTTCTTCCTGGAGATCTCTTCTTCTGGATCACTGACAGCAAAATATCGTTGCCACTGTGACTTCAGTTGCTACTGACTGTTGGCTTTGTAACTAGGTTAACAGGGCGAATGTCTCTAAAATTACATACAACAACTGTAGGTCACTAATCCTCTCCACCCCCCAAGAAATGTTAAGCCTTTGATTTCCGTGTCGTCGTTCTTCCCTGCTGCTTCACTGTGCATGTATAAAATGTGTTTTTAGTGGAATTTCAAGTTCTGCTGTTCATCTAGTCAAGGCAGCATGGGAAGCAAAGTTTCAACACGTTATTGTGTGCAGAAGTTCAGTTTTGGACATGTGTGATGGCTTCCATCCCTGCCTCACTCCTTGTACTGAAAACTGGGGTGTTGTGTACTTTGACATCAAGATTGAATTTTTGCAAATTGTAGGTGTTAGAACCTCAGTGGGCATAGCAGTTGGAATGCTGGAATGTGTTGTTGTTCCAGTATTATTACATAGAAATGTTGATTTATGAAATAGGTTTCTTTGATCTATAGAGGAAACATTATTTACAATGATAGAAGTTGCTAATAGTTCTGTAGTATAATTTAAATGCTCTGAAATGAATATATCCTTTCACATACAATATATAGAGCAAATGCTTCAGTCAAAAATATAAGTGAAAGAAGTCATGAATCTTCCATTTTACGTGTTTTAATGATGACTGATGGAAGATCCTAATTAGAAAAGTTTTAACATTCGGAGTAATGTTACTGAGTAATTCGGAGTTTTGTGGTTTCTGCATTAAATATGTAAAACATCTTTTTATAAATAAAGATATGCACACTTAAGCTCAAAATACCGTGAGTCTTTACAGCTTTCTTGGGTGTCTAGCAAAAAGAGTTATTTGGATTTGGTCTGTCTTGAAAAGCATGTTGCAGATGCTACTGCAAGATACGAAGTGCCTTCCTGGCTGCCACTTTGTTCCTACAAGCTTGGACATCTATCAAGAAAAGAAAGAGGAGATGGTTCATTGCAGATACCAGTGTAAAATCTAAGAGACATGGAGTTTGGGTTTTGGTTTTTTCCCATTCCTGTAGATGTGTGTACTATAAGTCATTCAGTTAGGGCAAAAATGACAGGGGTCTTCCATGTTGCACTGCTGAGAGATGTGACATCATGTCTGAGTCCCAGGAGCAGAAGGGGGATTCCAATCCAAGTTTCCTACTTCCCTGAGCAGGAGTCTCATCATCAAGCCACAGGACAGTCAAGAGCAGTGTCACTTCCTTCTCTTTAAACTTTTTGCCATGCAAAGGAAAAATCAAAATTCAGTGTGCCAAAGAAACGGAGCAAGAGGAAGCATGATGTCTCAGTCAAGTGATTAAAACTTTTTTTAGGATTACCAGGATGAGTAAAGACTAGGAATCTGCTGATGCTTTATCCACTGTTATGTTTATTGTTTTTTCGTGCATTGGAACTCAATGTTGAGGTGCTTCTTGAGGTGATTAGCCTTGCGAAGATGGTTTCTTAAGCGTGGAAGCTGTGCTGGGAAAGTAGAGGTGCTTGGGTGTCACTCAGGTTTGGTGGTAGCTGACCAGGAGTTCTGAAAATAACTTTCATGCAGCTAGTGGCTTATTTGTGTATGGCTTCCTGCTCCATATACAGACAATTTTCCTGGTCTGTAATAACATAGGAATAGTGGTACTTTCCTATGATCTGAGGACATAAAAATGATGAGGTGCTGAGACCCAGCAGGGCAGTACAAGCGTCATCTGTTGATAAATGGAGTGAATTACAAGTGTCAGTGTAGAGGCATCCAGTCCTGCCTCTTCTGCAGTGCTGTGCCATCCCAGCATTGTGGGACAGGAAGCAGCATTTGCTTCACCTTTCCACTGATACCCACAGCAAACATGCAGTGCTATATGAAGCTGAGTGTACATGACAGAATTTGTCAGTGGTTGCTGTTCTGGTGCTTGTAGTTGTTCTTGGCTTTTTCCTTTGGGTGTTCTAGAGAAGTAACTTTTTTTTTTTATTATTATTTTGTGGAACCAGCTTACATGATAATTGTGCTTAAAATAACTTTGTAAAGCCCAGCTCATAAACCAGATTTTGGCAATATGAATGGATTTAGTTTTGTAAGCTCATCCATGTACATGAGAGAGGGGGATAATTAGAACAATTATTAGAGGTTTTTATACTGAAGATCTTGTGTACTGTACCAGTTTGACTGTGCCCTCTCTCTGTCTTTCCAGAGAGAGGAACCTTCTGAGAGTAGGTTGCTTTGAGTGTTGTGCCTTGTAAATTAATGACTCGCAGATGTAAGTCTTGATTTTTTTCGTAGGAAGTACAACTTTATAATTTTCATTTAACTTGTTCTTGGTTTAATCTCCTTTAAACCATCCCAAGTGACTCCTCTTTCTGCATTTTATGCTCTTCAGTTACTAATGGAATGCTTTTGTCCATGCTGTGCTTCTCTTCCAAGTTGTTTGGCCGAACAGTATAAATGCTCTTAATTTCTCAAGCTGGTTCTTCTGATTCTTAGAAGTGGCTTATTTTGACCTGCTTTCAGTCAGATCTCTTGTAATTTTAGGGCTGTTAAGGGATGACTTTTATTCTAAGGTTTATTTATTCACCCTTGCACTTGGACAAAGTAACTGCATTTGCCCTTTTACTTCCATTTATATCACTTTTTTCCCCTCTTGAAATACCCATTTCCATGATTGTACTTACTTTCTGGGTAA